ATCCAGAGTCAGGCCTCTCACAGTAACTACATGCAGGATGGTCTATTACCTGGGTAAGGAATATTCTGCGATCCAGAGTCGGGCCTCTTTCAGTAGCTGTGGTCCCTCGTGGTACCAAGTTGTGTCCTGCTCTCTCTGTTGCTGTAGCTTCTTCTGCGCCTCCTGCTCCTGCTCCTTCTTGATGGCATCCTCTCCCTTGTACACCAGTAGCTCTCTCAGTCGGCTCCTCCTGTCACCAGGACCTTCCCCGAACAGGCCTGTGTTCGAAAACACACGAAAAATATGAAAACACATGAGTTAAACAATGCGTTAGTCAACAGATATGTAAAGTCGCAAAATGATTTGAGACCATATTCATTGATATATGCTATCACATGAGTACTAATCTTGAAAGAAAAAAAGGGCAATACAGTCAACTCTCCAAATTTGGAAAGCTTCAAAACCAAATCTCACGCTAAACTGGACGGACTTGCGGCCCCGGTTTTTGCGCGCAGCGCACAGCTCGCGGCGAAGCCGCGCCCCAACGCGAATACGCCGCCCCCTTTTTGTCTTGCTGTGCTCCTCCTCCCACCTCCCTGCGCTCCTTCCTCTCTGCCTCCTACTCGGGCGCCCACAGCTTGAAGGTGCGGTCGAAGGAGGACGTGGCGAGGTACTTGTTGTCGGGCAATACGTCGACGCACATCACCTTATCCTCCTGTCCTCCTCCTCCCACCTCCCTCCCACCCTCCTGCCCTGCTGTGCTCCTACTCTGGCGCCCACAGCTTGAAGGTGCGGTCAAAGGAGGACGTGGCGATGTACTTGTTGTCGGGCGAGACGTCGACGCACATTACCTTGCCCTCGTGTCCGGCGAGTATGTTCAGAGACGACCAGCCCGGATGAGACCATATCTAGATGCACGGGAGAGATGACGACGTAGGTTAACGAGCGGATGCAGGGAGAGACGACGCCACCTTACATAATTAGCTAACGATGACGACGACGACACATCAGATAACGAGCGACGTTGTTAATTGCAAGCTAAAATTCCAACGTGAAGTCAGCGTCATGCGCCTAGTCTGTTACTGCAGGCAATACGCGCAAATACGCATCGCACACGCCGCTCCCGCCGCGGTGCCCCCTGGCAGTCACGGGGCGCCCCTTCGCAGTCGCGCGGCGCCCATGACAGTCACGCTGCGCCCCCTGGCGGTCACGCGGCGCCCCTGGTGGTTACGCGGCGCCCCCTGGCAGACCGTACCTTGGCGGTGTTGTCGTAGGAGCTCGTTACGAGGAAGTCACCGACGCCGCTCTGGAACTTCAGTCGCGAGATGAGACTTGTGTGCGCTGGGATCGTGTAGATGCAGCCGCGCGTACGCACGTCCCACACACGCGCCGAGTTGTCCTCGCTGCCCGTCGCCACCTGGTAGCTAAAAAAACAATTAAAACGACATTATATTTTTTTTTCTTCATTTTCTTGCTCATGTTAATTATGTGCATTATTAACCCATTATATCGAATACATTTAACTTTACACATTAAAATATGCACATCACAAAATAAACGATGTTTTTAAACATCGGAATTCAGGATTGCAACAGAAAACATGTTTCCTCTAGGACAGTGTCGATTGATGTGTGATGTCGATTGACATCTCACGTTGACCTTATTAAACGCACCATCATTTAACCGTCGCAGGCGAGAGACAGAGGTCACGACCGAACGTTTAACATTAATTCGCGAGACCGACACGAGAAGCGTGTTTTACGACTTCTCCGGCAAAATGATTTCTAGGACGAAACAATATATCTACGACCTCGCCGCGCGACACGAACGCTCGCTCACCCGTTCGGTGAGAAGTCGACGCCGAGGATGGACTTGAGGTGACCTTCAAGGAACATGACGCAGCAGCCGGTGCGCAGGTCCCAGACGCGGCCGTACGCGTCCAGCCCACTGCAAACCCACAACAACAACATATGAATTCTAACGGCTGCGAACCAAACGCGTACGCGTTCAGTCCACTGCAAACCCACAACGATGAATACAACAGATGTATTCCAACAATTGCGAATCAAATGCGTTCACAACTACTACAACCGCATTGCAACGATTGCGAACCTAATCCATTCACAGATTAACATTGATGATCGCCAAGATTGACAACAACGATCATCCTCATTAAATCCCTGTGGACGATTCTATTGATTGATATTTCGTAGTTAAAGGAAATCTAAAGTTAACAATGTTAGTGTCTAGTTAGTGTCTAGTTAGTATCTAGTTAACGTTCGGAGCTCGCTGCCCTGAACTCGACCATACACACCCGGTCACGGCCAGTGATCCATCGGTCTGGAATGCTATGTCGTAGACGGCCTTGCTGTGTCCTTCCTGATGCAGGATCTCCTCCCCGACCTCCAGGTCCCACAGCCGCCAGCTCGAGTCAAAGCAGCAGGTGGCTAGGAAGCGGCCGGACGGATGGTAGGCGAGACGAGAGACGCGGTACGGAGCGTGACCCTCGATGTCCGCCACCGGCTCCTCACTGTAACGATAATTAAGATTCCTAACCCAAATCTTAACCTTAATCCTGACCCTAATGCTAAATATAACTCTAACCCTCACCCTAATACTAACCCTAACACTAGCAATAACTCTAACCCCCACCCTAATACTAACCCTAACACTAGTCATAACTCTAACCCTTACACCCTAACCCTAATCCTTACCCTAAGACTAGCCATAACCCCAACCCCAACATTAACCCTATCCCTTAACATAACCCTAACCCTAACACTAGCTATAAGCCTAACCCTGATCGTAACAGCAACATAAATGTTAAAACAGCGAACACCTCTAATGAGGGATCACACTCAACCGCAAGCATGATCAACATGTAAAACAATGCCGAGCCACTCTCTAAAATCCGCCACGCTGAAACTCTAGACTCAGACTGCCACGGATCGCTCCTCTCCCTCCTTTGGCAACGTTTTACCTGTGCGCGCTCCCTCACCTGTCCAGACTCCACAGCTTGACTGAGCCGTCGCTGCCGCACGAGGCCATGCAGGGTCCGCTGTCCCCCATGAACCCTGACCCTAACCCTAACACCAGCCATAAACCTAACACTAACACTAACACTAACCCTAGCCTTACCCCTAACACTCGTCTGCACGCGCCCCTCTCACCTGTCCAGACTCCACAGCTTGACTGAGCCGTCGCTGCCGCACGAGGCCATGCAGGGTCCGCTGTCCTCCATGGAGATGGTGGCGTGCGGGTGGAAGACGATGGCGCCAACATGGTTGTTGTGTCCGCGCAGCGTCCGGATCGGCGCGCAGTCCGGCACCGACCACAGCTTGCACAGACCAGACCTACGTCGCGTGCGGGGATGGAGAGGAAGGCTTATGACAGACGTATTACGTGACGTGGTATCTTACAGACCACAGCTTGCACAGACCAGACCTACGTCGCGTGCGGGGATGGAGAGGAAGGCTTACGACAGACGTATTACACGATGTGGTACCTTACAGACCACAGCTTGCACAGACCAGACCTACGTCGCGTGCGGGGATGGAGAGGAAGGCTTATGACAGACGTATTACGTGACGTGGTATCTTGTAAAAATTCCGGTTGTGAATAAAATATATATCGCAGAAATAAGCGTACACCGGTCACACACACACATACGGCCTACGAGGAGAGGGGGAGAGCG